TAACATTTTATCTCAAATATTAAATCATATTTGCAATAAGTATGTAAAAGTTGCAATTACAGTTTAAGTACCTGTTCGGCAAGAATTTCGCCGATATAGCAAAGGATAAATATATTGAACGTGAAGGATATGAGCAACGAACTGAACGTCATCGTTCCTAATGTTTCACGATGTTCCCATTCCTAGAAGGCTAACGTCATGAAACGTAATTGTATTATGTTGTAGCGTATTTAAAATATCGTTCGCAAAATATTTTTTGTACCGTCATCATATTGAATCCCAGAAAGCATATGTTGAGCGTACAGCCAACTACATCCACGAGGCAAATCTCGTTTAAAAGCTCCTCGGTGCGAGTGATAAAACTGCAAGTTATGCGATTAAAATTAAAATGGAAATTGAAATCTTTTTATATATTACAGGTTTATATAATAATATATTAATCTCTTGGAACACATTTATGATATAGTAATTATCAAAATTGCTGGCTTACAAAGTCTGTCTTTAATTATAAAAATTTGCACACACAAGACTTATATCGTTTATTATAAAGTTATTTTAGGATTCTGATATTGTGTAAGAAAGATTTTCGCAAATTGCAAATGATATATTTTTTGTGGGTATAATCTTTGCATATAAGCTGCTATTACAAGCCGATTAATATGGAAATCAACGCGTACGTTACCTAAGTATCCTGATGTGATGTTTTACAATGTCGCCGAGTTTCCCCTCGTGCGTGCTGCATGCTCGCGCTCTTTCTCTCTTTTCCATCCGCGAGATCATCCATCTTTAGCATGAGTATCTGAAACTGACCGCAGGCGTGCATGACGAATACCGCTGCCACACTGCACACGCCGATGATGATCGTGTAAATGACGTAACCAGCTAAAGCTTGCGTGAACTGCGCTATTTCGAAGGCCGGCGTGGTTCGTGGATCGAAGAGGCCACGGTAGATCGGGAAGGAGAGCATCCTCACCGTTTCGTTGTCGATAATCTCCGTTCTTCTCGCGCAGATCGGCATCACCGTGGTGAAGAATATACCGGCGGAGTACATGAACATTGCGCTGATAGAGGAGAGCCAGCGGCCGAACTTGGCATTGTCCACCATTATTTCTCGGTCTTTCTCACGAGCCAACGCGACGCGACTCCAGTCCGTGCGGATATGCCGAAAGCATTCGCTGATGTTCTCACTGCGGGTGATGAGGATGTACTGCTTCACCGCGGCCATCAGGATAAAACTGACCGGACCGATCATTCTGATTTTAGTATCGAGATCGGTGTCCACTAGGATGGTACAAAGAGTGCATGGGATAAGCAGAAAACATATCAGGAAACAACTGACCACCGTCAGGATCATGCAAGCAATCTTCTCCATCGTGGTCTCGCAGAGAGTCAACGGCCACGCGCCGATCGGTTTCAGGAACCAGCGATTCAGCTGAATGCTGTAGTTCCAACCGTCCGTTAGTTCGAGACTAATGGATTTGATAGAGTTCAACTTTGAATGCTCGAGCATAGTAAGGACTAAATCGCGACGATGCACGCAACTGACTGAGCGTCAGCGAACTGCTGACGGTCAGCCAGTTCGGCACGCGCATGTGCGTCTTCCGTCCGCCTATATAAACGTTCGTGCGTGAACGCAATTGATTCCTTTCTTTCTTTTCTACCTGCTATTTAATTATTTATTAGTGAGACTGTGGTTCCTGGAACTTTATTGCGTGCTGCGTGCAAGTCCTTTTGAGGGGATGCAGATGAGGAAGTAAATTTGATGGGAAAAAAGGGTTCCGATGCGCTATTGTTCACGATCAAGGGGGAATACGTAATATACTGGATACATGTTTCCTGCTTCAGATTTTCTGACATAGCCAGTAGACGACCTTTTACGTATACCTCACTTTACATATGGTTATTCTGATGGGAATGAATGTGTCTTTAAAAAGGGTAGCACAAGAACAAATGTGAGATATAAATTCCTTTCTGAAAGGTTAATTAAAATATTTATTTAAATTTATTAGCTGTTATTAGAGTGCAACGTATAAGAAAATATAATGACAATATTGAATAAATTAATTTATTTTGATAAATTCAATATTTCTAATATAATTAACATTTTTACATAGATAAATATAAATATATGAAAGAGAATTGGTTGAAGCATATTTATATGTAATACTGATGCCTCCTGAATTTGTAAGTAAGACTTGTGTTCGTGTGCACACTACACTGAGGGAAAAATATTGTAGAATCAACAAAACAGTTTTGTTGATTTTTCAATTTATTGATCCAATTATTTATTTTATTGAATTAAGTACACGTCTATTATTTGAACAAAATGAAATAATTGAATTCTGAAAATGGTATCATACAATATCATTTTTTTTTAAGTTAATGATCAATTTCGTTAACTCAATAAAATAATTTTGTTGAACCAAGAACATTAACGTTTTTAAAAATAGTAAATTTATTTAAAGAAATATTTAGTTAATGTTATATTGGCTGCATTCGGAGAGCGTGCTATTAGCGCTATTGTATCATTCTATCTTTATCGCTCATTAAATGTAAAACAAGTATAAAATAAGCAAATAGCGCTAATAGCGCGCTCCCCGAATGCAGCCATTATGTATAATTGATAGTATAAAATATTTAGTTAAAAAGAACAATTCAATATAGTCAACAAACAAAATAGTCAAAAAGAACAAAATATTTTGTAGAAATATTTTGTTAAGCCAATCAAATCATCTGGTTGGCAACATACAATCTTCCGGTTTTATTAAATCAACAAAATTTTTTTTGAAAAAAATTATTATTTCTCTCAGTGTACGTATACACATACTATATTTTTGATCTCATAAAATTCTACAATTAACTATAATTAAAATTTATGTTGGGTGGTTTCACTGCTTTCCACAGTTAACGACACAAGTCGACATAAGCGTCACTTTATCTTCGTTGTTTACTAGATGTTAAAAAAAGACAGAATGACTTGTATCGACTTGAGTCGCTAAATGAAAAGCACTCATTGTGTTTTTAAGTAAACATTTGGTAAACAAGAGTATTATTTTTTTTTGTTAATTTATTTGCGGCCGGGACAATGAGTACTCATTTAACATAAAAAAATATTACATAAAGTTTTTATCAAGTATCTATATTTATTATAAACTGCTTATTTTGCATGTTATTTTTTTCACACCAAAGCTGTACAATTATTTACGTAAGCAGTACAGTCCGAAGTATATTTAAATACGCTAAGGCAGATTTAATTACCTAAAGCAATTAGAAATTACTCATCTTCGTTCAAAAATCCATTATTCTTTGAAAAAATATTTATATCTTAAAATACTTTTACAGATATATTGCATGAAATATTACAAATGTGATAAAATTTCAATGCAGACAAACATTTTTTATATGAATATAAATTCCATGTTGTTTTATATGCATAAATTATAAATAATATGTATTTTTGCATACTTACATCACCGAAAGTAGAAAATGAGAGCTGAACAATCTTTCCGGCAGTTATCTTGATGCCAGCATTGGATCTTAGAATTATCAGAATGAGCCCCTGGGCGGTTTTTCCAGGCAAGAGATACCAGTTTGTCATATAGGCAGATTTACCGATCTGTTCGCCCTAAAGGCCGTTTTGTATACCTGTTATAATTCGATTAAAGAGACCAGCGATATTGCATCTCAATAAATTTTCGTAATAAATCTCGATCTTGTAAGTATAAACACCATAAACTCTATCGCCGATTTTATATTGATTCTTTTTTATTAAAACGTACAACTTTTTATTAGAACTTTTTATTGTCATTTTCAATTTTAAATGTTACCTGATCAGAAAGTATCTCTCCGATATAACAGAATATAAATATATTAAAAGTAATCGAAGATAATACCATTGAATGCGACAAAATACTTTGATGATTGTCGTGAATAAAATCCTAAAAGAGACTTTATTTTATTAAATCTTAGGTACATTTAAGTGGTATAATAGTAAAACGAGTAGTAAAATGAAAATATATAAATTGTGACTATATACATATATATTCTGGAAGAATTTCCATACCATAATGCAATAATATCCTAAAAGACATATATGCATAGTACATCCAATTAATTCCACAAGACATATTATATTCATAATTTTCTCTGTACGGGATACAAAACTGCAAATATAGCGTATGATCACGATCTATCATAATTATTTTGCAGCAATTTTTATTCGATTAAGCATATAACGTTTATTATGTAACATTTAAAAATGAAACCTAAATTATGACTTAAGCATATAACAGTTGCATTAAAAAAATATGCTGATATCAGCTGTTAATTACGTTACGATTTAATTAAATTGGATTGGATCCGGTGATGCAAATTAGAAAATATCAAGTAGGTACACAGCAAAAAGTCAGAAATGATAGCTCACCTCAAGATTCTCAAATGATGATTCACTATGATTGCGAACCTTTGTCTCATAGAAATAGAAGTTTTTTCCTCATTTTTGTCGTCCATGAAATTTTCGAGCCAGGATATCATGATTTTCATTTGGCCGCACGCGTGCATTACCAAAACTGCTGCCAGGCCGCATGTGGCGACTGTAACGCAGTTGACGACGAAGGACGAGAGGCACTGTACAAAAAACACGAGCTCGTACGTCGGACTGACGTGCGCGTTGAGAATCTTGATGTAGAAGGGATAGGGTAACGCGCGAACCGCGACGGTACTATTCCCCACGTGTAAGATAACTTTGGAGAGGCCTTGGACGATATTGTACGAGAACACACCGCTGTGCATGAACACGGCGCAGAAACCGGCGATGAATCGACCTATCTTGGCGCTCTTCAGCATCACTCTCCGATCCTCGCATCTCCGGATAATTCGCCAGTCCGCTTTCACGTGCTCCACACAGTCGTGTATATCGTCCACGTGCATCAAGAGGCAAGAATAATTCATCATCGCTATGAGCCAGAAGGTGAATGGGCCAACGCTCAACAGCTTGTCGTCGTTCGACTGCTGCGAGTCGATGAGTATACTCAGACCAGTTGGTATCATGATGCTGATTATCAGGAAGTAGCACACAAATATCGCGAAATCGGAGCGGATCTTTTCGATGATTGAGATATCGGTGGGACGCGGCCATACATTAATCGCCTTGAGAATCCAACGTATTATCTGGATACTGTACTCGTTGTATTTGTATTCAACCAAGTACGTGGATACGGAGACACTAGTACTATCCGTGAGATCATCCTCCATCGTTTTCTGACGAAGGTAGCGAACTTACTGAGGCTGTCCCTTCGTTGCCGCACACGCAATAGTAACGGTCAGCGCGTGCGCAGACATTGAACGGCACATGATATAATGGTCCTAATAATGTATTGTCGTGTAGCCGCCGCGGCAACAGGTAGAAGCAGCTTGTAATCGATAGTTAGGTCTGAAGTTTTACGTACGGAATATTACAGTTCTGAACGCGCAGTTATATTGTGGATCACGTCTGCGATTTCCCTCAGCGAGTAAGCAAAAAATTAATTTTATTAAGAAGATCAATCATATTTTTCTCAGGATATACAAATTTAAAGGAGTAATAAAGTGAAATTATATTTTACTTATAAACATGACGGGTAAAATATTCTCACAACAGTATCATTATTATTTAATTATTCAATTGCATACTATATTTACTGTTTATAATCTATATATATCTATATATACATCTATATATATAACATTAATGTTATTTATATAATGAGGGTACGAAGTATGTTTAAATATGCTAACGCGGATTTAATTACCTGAAATAGTTTTAATTATATTGTCAGTATAAAGAATGTGATTGTTTGGTTAGTCATTAAAACAATCATCTAATCTTTATAATAATTTTTACAAGCTATATAAAATAATTATATAATATTATAAAGTACTATTTCTGTAAACTATACTGAGAGAAAGGTTTTGTTATTATGTGAACAACAAACTTTTTTTGCTGCGAGAGCTAATTAATTTTGCAATAATAGCAAAACCTTTTGTTGCAATAGCAAAGTTTTGCCGAATTGCTATTGCAAAAAAAGTTTTGTTGAGAATTGTTGGTTGTTTATATAGTATAATAAAACTTTTTTCTCAGTGTACATGCCTGCAAATTAAAAATACTATTTTTGTATATACTCACATTACCGAAGGTAGAAAGGGAAAGCTCAATCATCTTTCCAGCAGAGATTTTAACTACGATGCTGGATTTTAAAATGATTAGAATGAGACCGAGAGCGGTATTTCCGGGTAACAGATACCAATTTGTCATGTAGGCAGTTTCACCAACTTGGCCGCTCTGTTATATTACGATTAAATAAAAAAAATACGCTCGCGGCAATATCGCGTTTCGATAAAACTCACACGTAAAATTAACGATTAATAGATCGTAAAGTTTTTATCGATTGGTATTCTTATCGATAGGTATAAAATCATTTTTCACAACACTTCCACGGAAAGTTTGACTTTCCATGCCTGTAGAGAGGGGTGAAAGTGACCAATTTCACGCCAGGACGGCATTAGCGGGACGAAAGTAACCACTTTCCTTCCTAGGGTGGAAAGTGATCACTTTCGTCCCGCTATGCCGTCCTGGCGTGAAATGGCCACTCTCGCCTCTCTCTAGGCATGGAGGTCGAACTTTCCGTAAAGATATTGTGAAAAATATCGTGTGCACCTCGGGGCGAAAGCTTTTTCAGACTCGAGTGATTTGCCGCCCGAGCCGAAGGCGAGGGCGGCAAACTTCACACTCGTCTGAAAAACGCTACTTTCGCCCCTTGGTGCACAATATACTATTTTATATGTCTAACAAGCGTTGCCGTCACCTGTTCTGAAAGAATCTCCCCAAAGTAACAAAATATAAAGATGTTGAAAGTAACTGAGATCAATATTATAGCGTATGCCACCATACTTTCTTTTTCGTCTTGGTTCCAATCCTAAAAGAGATTCTCTAATTCGTTAGAGCAATAGGTAACCAGCGGCAAACACAAGTTTCACACAATACGCATACCAGTATGCAATAATAGCCCAAGAGACACATGTGCATCGTGCAACCTGCTACTTCCACGAGACAAACTATATTCATAATTTTCTCTACGTAAGACACGAAACTAGAAATACATTTATTTAAGAATATATGGTATATGTATAACGTATCAAAATAATGGTACATTTTTGTGTATTACCGTTATTAACATGTTTTATTCGAGGTTTTATTTTAACATACTTATTTAATAATAGATCAATGTAGATATTATTCACACAACATTTAGCATGTAATTAAAACGAAGATAAAAATATCCGTCATTACAATACAAAAAATTTATTATTAAATTGTCCCTTCGATTACCTGAGTATTTTTAAATGATGTTCGACGATGATGGCGAACTTCTGCTGCGAGGAGTCTTTCTTTTCGTTTCTTTCGTCGATCAGATTATCCAGCAAGGACATAAGGATTTTTAACTGACCGCAGGCATGCATAACGAACACGGCGGTGAGACAGCATGCGCCTACTGCTATGGAATTTACAACAAACGTGGATAGACACTGTATTATGAACACTATTTCGTACATCGGGCTCGTCGTGGTGTCTAGGAGCTTATCGTAGAACGCGAAAGGTAGCGGACGCACCGACACGTTATCGCCCCCGACGGCGGCTTCGCTTAACGTCATTCCTCGAAAAATACTGTACGAGAATACGCCGCTGTGCACGAATGTCGCGGAAAATATCGCGACGAAACGACCGATCTTGGCATTCTTCAGCATTATCTCCTGCTCCTCGAATTTCGTCACAGACCGCCAATCCATCTCGATGTGTTTGATACATTGATATATGTCGTCAACGTGCGCCAGCAACGAGATATACTTGAGACTCGCCAGCACCCAGTTGCTGAGCGGTCCAAATTCACGTATTTTCATCTCCATATCTTTGTTCTCGTCTAAGATTGTGGCCAACGCGCAAGGCACCAAAGTACTGACGATTAAAAAAATGCATGCTATCAGCAACGCTACTGACGAGATCCTCTCCGCGATCGACGAGTCCGTCATCGGCCAGACACTTATCGGCTTCAGCAGCCAACGAATCGGCTTGATGCTATACTCCTTATTCTCTACGTAGTTAAAGATGATCGGCGGGTTCTGTGGAAGCTTCGTCATGTTCACTTCTCGAGCGCAGAGACACGACTGACTCGCGCAGATTTCTCGAAACGTACGCGGGGTAATAGTTACAGAGTAACGCGTGCGCGGTGTATTGGCTATGAGACTATACTTTCATTTTATACACTCATCTCTCAGGTAATCGATAGCAAATTGAAGTGGTGGTGAATTTTCATTGCAAGATAGACGGCGAAAGCGACAGACTAGTCACGCTGTCCGACTACCTTTTTTTTGTTACTGTAACTCTGTTGTAACTCATTCGTTTCTGTATTTTTATTTGAACGGATAATAAGAACTTATCCCTCGACCCTCATCCGCTTGTGGGTAGCTCTGTTTTGTTCCCTATCAGTTCCATTCTGTTTATCTGTCTTATCCCTTCAGAGTAAGGGGAGTTGAACAACATGCATGATACCTGTGTTTATATCGATTTGTTCGAGAGGAAAAGGGTGAAACTTTTTTTAATCGATACACAAATGAAACTTGTTCCAAAATTAGGCAGTCGACTGTGTTATAATGTAGTGAAAAGTGCTTGAAAAGAATATGATTGTTTACAAATGTGTATTTGACAATGGATATTAAGTCAAATTATATATGTATAAAGTCATAAAATCATTAACATCATTTAATAAATTTTACCATATGCGCTCTACTTCTGGAAAGTACACATTTATTGACAGCTTTCTTCAGAAATAAATAAATTAATTTTTTTAATTTTAATTCTGTAATATTAAAAAAATGTTCTATAATTGAGAAAATTATAATGTAAATGAATATAATGAAAATTATAAAAATAAAATTATAATAAACTGCGAATAATATATTTACATATTATATGTATTTTCAATATTTTAATATAGATATTATAAGTAATATCTAATTAAGTAATGTTTTTAGCAAGACAAAACTTTTTACATAATACTTTCATGTGTATTATAATATTATAACACTGATATACAACACTTTTCGACGTGACTTTTCGTAAAATATGTCAGCAAATGTTTAATTTTACGAATATCTTCCTTTTCCGCGTAGAGCACAATATACATTCAGTTTTAATAATTTAGGAAAAAGTAGTCAATTTAATTCATATGTAACATGTTTAAGTTGAAATGAGAAATCGTCGATTGCAAATTGCAATCGTCACGCTTTTTCAGTTCCACGCTTCCTGCCACACGTGTACCTATAGTTCAGCACAATTACTTTAGGAAGGCATGCAATGCGCTATCACGATGGCCAGTTCATTGTTTCGAAGTTGAATGTGAAATAGCACCTGCGCCAACTTTCCTAAAAAGTTTGGTGAGCAACCTGCAATTGCTCTGAAAGGGTTGCGTGTTCAAGCAATTGTATTGTCACGAGTTTATAGTATATTAGTTATGAGACAGAATATCGCGTGTCACGAAGATCATACGAATGAATTTGTAGAAACAATACCGAATACGCTTTAATTATCAGGTGTAACTGTATTTTATTCGATTTTATGCAGAGCGTGCTTCTTATGCTGCTAAAAACGGTGAATATGTAATTTCGATGAATACGAAAATCAGTATTTCATAAAATGTAGAAATTATAGTAACAAGTATCAGGAAAATCACAAAAAATTGTACAGCGTGCATCTTTGAAAATGATTGATAATCTTGAGTTTGACAAAATCATTGATTTTATTTATTAAATCTTATTTTCAAGATATATTAATTCTGTTCTATATATTCTATTTTATATAAAATATATATCTTGCATATTTCTTAACTTATGTTTCACATAAATACGTTTCACATAGTCATTGTTCGCAAAAGATTTAAATATACCATGGAACTTTTAATTACCTGGAACAACAACATGATTGTTCCTACACAATGCAAAAATATATATTATATTCTATAAAAGTTATAGATATATTAATGTTTTAAAGGTAATAGACAATCCAATTCTTATTAGATGATTATAATTTGCAATTAATAAAATATAAGGAAATTATTAATAAGGTATAAGAAATTTATTAAAATTTTTGTAAGGAAACAAAGAAACGGTATATCTGCATTACTTACATCACC